AGACTGAACTATTGGAAATGAACAATCCTCAGTATTATCTCATCATGAAATTGCCCTGTCACCTTGAGTAGGTTGGTTCTTTAACTGCTCCTTAATCATTTACCGTCTGTTAGATGAGAAAACTTCCTCCATGGTTTTATAAAGATTAGATAATAACTATAAAGTCATTTCTGGAAAAAAAAAGTCTTGGTAGAGGTGGAGCAGGGATAGATAATAGTTTATTATTAACTTACAAAATGGAACCCAACCATCCCAGTCATGGCAAACGGTAATGGCTAAGATGTCCAGAGCGTTAACATGGAGCATAAAGGTGTGGATCAGTGAAAATTAGGATAAGCGAAGGAACTGTCCCAAACAACACTGACCTTGAGATGGCTCCTAATTAAATCTGATTCATGAGTCCAGTGGCAGTCACAAAGTAAAAAAAGAAAAAAAAATTGAAAATGTGTCTTTCATGTACAAGCACTTAAACTTCTTTGGGAAATAAATTCATTGAATGTACTTGTGGGAAAGGGAAGGTTTAAGAAAAATTATTCTTCCTACTTCTAGCCAGTATTTCCAAGACCTATCCACAGCCAGGGAGGAGGCGTTGAGAACAATACACAGTGGGGATACTATACTTTAGATCTGGAAAATTCGCCTCTGTACTAGGTAGGTCGGCCACATAATTTTCCAGTAGCAGCCCTTTGAAAGAAGGGTAGCTCCCTTGCAGGAGATGAGGTCATTAAATCAGAAACAAACTGGGGACATCTGACCTGCGAGTGAACCTAGATTAGGGAGTGACACTATAGATTAGATCACCTCACTGAGAGCCAACCAGGAAGTCTCCATCGGAAAAATGAAGATATCATATTCTTATAGGGACAGTATATTAATTGGCTTTTATATTTATTTTAAGAGAATCCCAACAAAAACATGATCATATTCCAAGCCAGAATCCTGGGAAGGTTGGTAGATACAGGTGTGTGTTGTAGGTGTGTTTTATAAAATTTCCATGTGATTATGTTTTTATTTTAAGATACTGGCTCTCTTCCTCATTAAAGGAATACTGTTTGAATTCTTTTGGCAAGGAGAGAATTACCAATCAATTGACACTTTTAGGTATAGTATTTGCTTAAGGTGTGATATATGCTACTGGTAGTAAGAAGCTCTCTATATGAACAAAGGTAGTCAATAAATACTTACATGGGCTCCTACTATATGTAAGGCATTGTGTTTGTTTGTGAAATATAAAAATACAGATAGAACATCACTTCTCATTGAGCTCACGATTTAATATGGAAGACAGTCTTTGTATAATGAATTGTATGACACATGGCATATTGGGCATGGTGGTATGTGCCTCTAACCCCAGTGACTCAGGAGGCTGAGGCAGGAGAATTGCAAGTTTGAGTTGAGCCTCAGAAACTTAGAGAGACCCTTAGCAACTTAAGAAAACCCTGTCTCAAAAAGTAAAAATGAGGGGAGATGTGGCTCAGTGGTAAAGTACCCCTGGGTTCAACCCTCAGACCCCCCAAATATATATGTGCATATGTATATATGTATATATATATATATATATATACACACACACATATGTGTATACATATGTAAGTATACTGTTCTAAGTACGCATATATATATATATATTTATATATTTATATATATTATATACATATAATCAGGAAAAGAAGTCTAATTGCATAAAATTGAAGAATATTTCACAAAGCAGGTGAAATCTAAGGTGGACCTTAAGGAATGAGTAGGGTTTTTAACCAGTGGAAGAAGAAGTAAGGGTTTCCAAGGCAAAGCAAGAAACTGTACCAGCCAAGTCAGAAGGCCTGCAAGTCTACCATGTGTTCTACACTGGAGGAATGTTGCTGGATTGTAAGGCTGTCTTGTGGAAGTTGGGGGTGTGCCCATCTTGATGAGGTGTTGCTACTTCCCTCTTTTACATAAATAATGGAGTGTCATTATGTTTGTGTTTAAAAAAAATTAAATGGTAGTGTGGTGAATGAATTACAAAGTAGAAAGTTTGTGAACAGAGTAAATGAAGTGTTTATTAGGTTAATTGGATAATGTACAAGAAAACACCGAGTATATTTATAAACAAACAAGGAAGCACAAATTGCTATAATTGTTACAGTCCAGGGGGGAAAAAATGATGCATTAAGAAGAGTATTAAGAAACAGAAAATATTCAAAAGATATTTTGGAGGTAACAAGGATAGTAATAAAATCAAACATTTGTTGAGTGACTGTTATGTTCTGGGCATTGTTCTAACTACATTGAACATAGTACTTTACTTAATCCTTACAGTCCTTTAAGGAAGATAAACCATTTTTAAAGATCTAGAAACTGAGCAGAGACATGATGTAGCTTATTCAGCTCTCACAACTGATGAGTGGTAAAGTGTGTAGATAAATTCAGGCAGCCTGCTGAGACATACTCTCAGGTATAACTGCACAAAGAGACGATGGGTTTTATATAGCAGTTGGGAGATCAGAGGAATAAAATACAATCTATAGGCACAGTTCTAAAAAAGTCTCTTTTCTGAACACTTATTTTTCAGAATATTAACAGATGTTATGCAAGAAATCATTCTAATACCAAATAAAATACTGGGATAAACAAAATAAACAAGTTTTTGTTTGCAGGAAGCCTAAAAGCCTTTAGAAGTTTAATTTTCAACACAAATCTCCCAAGAAAGTGTTATAGAGTATGTTAAATTGCGCAGACTCAGTTGACCATAAGTCTCTTTAATAATTTAGTCTTTTTTGGCTGGGGGTCAGTGTTCCTAGAACATAATCTGGAAACTTCTCTTGTAGACATCCCACTTTGGGCCATGATGTGGTTAAATTGGTAAATTTGGACTGGGCATCTTGTATGTCAAGTGCCTGACAAGAAAATGCATAATACAAAGATGTACATTTGAGTCTTGAGAGATGGGTCAGAATTGGAGGTGCAGATGTACATGTTCCTCCTGTTTGAGACAATGAAAACTTGACCTAGTGTCCATGGTTGAGCTTGCTATGGGGAAGAGGAAAAGAGGACGACCAAGGAGCACATTTTGGATGTTGCTTATATGCAGTGTCAGTTTGTACAGGATTCAGCTGGTGTTTAGTTAGTGTTCAAATTTGATAATATTTTGTTAAATGTTTCTAATGGAGATTGGCTAAATTTCAGCCTATCCATATGTAAAATTTAAATCATAGATATTCTTCAAATAGCTATATTTCTCCAGTACAGCTGACCAAGTAGAAGTATGAATTTCTTAGTTCATAAAAATGCCTGGTTGATTTGGGGAGAAATGGTCTTTCATATGAATGTGGCATAACCTGATCTTAGAGGTAGACCCATGGTTAGTGTTCCAAATGTCACTTGTCCCCATGACTGCCTTACATAAATTTGATGAAATACCATTATTTCTTAAAAGTGAATAAATCTTAAATTTTAAACAAGAGGTCTCCTATTAATTTAATCCATGGCAACAGAGATTTTTTTTCAAACCAAATAGTTCCAGGAGGATCTATTTTAGCTGCAACATCTGTGAACCATTCTAAAGGCTTGCAATAAAAAAAAAAATAAAATCATATAATATCCCACCAGAAACAACAAAAGCCAAATTGGATTCCTCCCTGGAAAATGAACTTCAAATTATGTTTTAAAACCTACAGACTTTTAAGGGGAGAGGTAAAAAAAATCCTATTTAAATCATTTAAAAACAAGTAGTGTTAGAAAAATATCCTATTGAGTCCTAGATAGTGTTGAGGATATATTTCCAATGTTAAGGTCAATGTTAACCTAAAAAGAGATAGGATGAAGGGGAGTGAAGTAGTTGAGCTAGCTTTTGTTTCTTTCAACATTCTCCCAGTCTCCATGCAGTTCATTTTATATGCCTCACATTCCTTTGCTAGATGAACGTACCTAAAGCATAGCTCTTCATCCTCTGATTGAAAAATCTGAATTTTTCTCCACTACTGGACATCAGTGTCCTGCAGGTCCAGGCCCTGTGAAGCTTTTCCATCCCATCTATTGCTGTACATCTTGCTTAGAAGATTCCAGCCAACTCTACTGCTTGTTTACCACACCAAATCCCTGTTCCTCATTCTGCTCCTTTGCTTATGTTATTCCTTTTTCCTAGATTCCTTTTCATTTCGACCAACTCCACATGGAGTAAATCTCCTCTTCTCTCCTATATTATTTCATGTAGCATTCTTGACACATTTAGCCATTTTCCACCTTGTGTAACTGCTCTAAGGGAAGGCTGCATAGCATGGCAGGAACCACTGTAGTGTTTTGGGGATCAGTCAGACACCAATTTTATATATGACCTCAGTGTCTTATTAGCTAAGGGGTCTTTGGCACTTCTTTTTAATCTGGATGAGCCTTGATTTTCTTATCTTTAAAATGGAGAGAAACTTTTATATAAGATTCTTCAACACTCTGCTTGGCACACAGACACTAATACATATGAATCCCATTTTCAACAGAATTTAATTCTAGATTTGCTTTCCAAGGAGGTACATGCCACCTCCAAATATTGAAGAAAAATGACTTACTTTGTTCAATGTTAAAACAATAGAAGAAATAGGTATACAGGACATGCAGCAGAGTTCCTGGCCCAGAATAACCCTACCAAATGGTAGATCTATTATTGTTATTGTTTAAGAGCATAAACTTCACTAAGAAATGGCTTGTTTACCATTCTCCTTTGAATTTCTGCCAGTATTTAGGAATGTCTACCAGTGTTCAGTTGATCCTCAACTATTATTTGTGAACTGTATACTTCCATATTGCTGGGACCAGGCTTGTGAAGAAATCATAGGGGCCATSTTGTAGGTTTTATTTCTGAATGAATAAACACTTATAAATTTGGCACCCACTTCAACAACAACAAAAATAAAAATATGCATAGTAAAGCAAAGGAAAAAACATTTTAAAAAAAATTCTCCTTTTTAAAAAAATGTGATTTAAACACACACACACACACACACACACACACACACACAAACACACACTTTGCTTCTTGACCTTTTGGCTAAGATCAACTGTAGTATCTGTTCTTAACCATTTAATATCTGATACAGCCTCTATTTGAAGACAATCTATTAAATGGACTTTTGGAGCAGGGAGATAGAATAGGAACTAGTCCATTCTCACTAAGCATAGGATTGGTGTTGCGAGACCTTCAGAAATGATGCACACCCTCAGGGGACTTAAAACATAAATAAATAGGTAAACAAAAAGAGGACACATAAAATTTACCATAATACCCGTTTGCAAGTGTAGAGTCCAGTATTGTTCTGTATATTCACATTGTTGTGAATGTAGTTCTACCATTCTCTACGTCTTGCAAATCCGAAACCATATACCCATTAAACCACAATTCCCTTCTTCATTCCCCCCAGCACTTGGCTACCACCATTCTGTTTTCTGTTCCTAAGAAGAAAACATTTTTTAAAGGAAACAAAAGAGGAGCATTCTATTATGACTACTTCATCCATTAATTATGATAGGAAGTGGTGGGGGAAGGAGAGATGTCCCTAGCAAAGGCAGCTGGTCACATGCTGAGTTAATGAGACCGAAACTTGGAGAAACTTGACTCTTGGCTGGAAAGCCAGGGATGAATATCAAGCCCATCTAGGAAGCAAGAGGTGGAGTAGTGCGGCAAGGCCAGAGTCAGTGTCTGGATATTAGAGAAAGGACAAGAACTGAATTAGGGGAGATACCAGAACCACATTCTCAGGGCAAACATAAGACACCAACAAGAAGACAGGAAGAAAAGGAGAAAAGAGATAAAGTGAAGGGCAATAAACTTAAGTCCTTAGGGTGGGTCTCATTGTCAGGGCATCTTTTAAAGGACCTGTCATGAGCCTCGTGGGCCATGCTGCCAAGAGCCTATGGCTTACACCCCAGGTTGGCTGAAGGAGCAGCAGATGAGGGAGGAACCCTTCCCACTTCTCCCTTGATGGGTTGGTGCTTATAAGAACTGAGGGTCAGAAATCTTTTCACCTGATTTCACCAGTATAAATGTATTTCTTTGGAGGAGTGAAAGAGAAGTATTGAAAAACATGAAACCAAACAGGATTTGTCTAGGTCCCACCCACTTTTAGATGGGCCTGCTGGGAAAAGAAGGTGCTTAAGGAAAAAAAGGAAACCCAAAATCCTCTAAAATGAAAATCATGAGCCCTAGATTGTTTTCCAGTTCCACCCAGTCTTTTTATATATGACCTTTGGYTGGTCCAATCTACTGGCCTTTGTTTCCCCTTAGGATCAATTTCCTTGTAATTTTCAAGGACTTTGTATATCAAGCTGATTCATTGARTGAAACCAGATATTTTCTTATTCTTGTATGGTGATGATGTTAGTGTTTTAATTTTTTGAAATTGTTCCATGATCTTTTTTTAATATTTATTTTTTAGTTATAGGTGGACACATATCTTTCTTTTATTTTTATGTGGTGCTGAGGATAGAGCCCAGTGCTAGGCGAGCGCTCTACCTCTGATCCACAACCCCAGCCCCATGTTCCACCATCATTTTTTAAAAATTAACACTCAATGGTGCTTGTATCTGCAAACTAAGGACAATCCAAAAAAAACCAACACAAAATGAACCTTATTAAATCAATTAGCTACTGTAAATAAATCAATCTCTGGACTATGAAATACAGAAGTGGCAAATTTCCACCTTTGGGAAGTCCATGTGGGCTGAGGGGACTGGAGAGACCTAAAGCAGGTGACAGGCTCAGGCAGATAGATGAGAAAGGCACCATTCATTCTGCAGTAAGGGAGCATTTGAAATACAGTGACAAACAGACACTCACAGTCCTTTTGTTCTTAGAGCTTATGGTATAATGAGGGATAAATAAGCTTATATTTTAATCTGAAATTAAGTCTTAAAAATGATCCCCAAATGAAACAAGATGGTGACACCCCATGAAAAGCTATAGGAAGGTAATAAACAGCAGCAGCGAGACCCAAAGAGAGAAAAGAAATGTGTCAGAATGGAGAACCAAGGTCTATGTAATGAGCAAATGAGGACATGATTTATTAGCTGTCTTTGCCAGCTTCTGCTTTTATCTGTAGTCACCAGTAGGGTGCTCAGTGTCTGCGTGGAGGAGAGGGATCGAATCTAGCCACCTTCCCATGGCTCTGCCTTGACCCCTCTTCTTCCCATCTTACCTGAAGTACCCACTTTAGTTTTCTATTCCTGCTGTAACAAATCACTGCAGATTAATGAGCTTACAACAATATGAATTTATCACTTTACTCTTGCAGAATTCAAATATAGGTCTCACTGGGATAAATTCAAAGTGCCACCTTAGCTATACCCTTTCTGAGGCTCTTGGGAAGAATTCATTTCCTTTCCTGTTCCAGCTTCCAGAGATGCACCTTCTCTGGATCCTGGCTCCCTTTCTCCATCTTCAAGAACAGTGAGGTAGCGCCTCCTTGACTCTACTTACTAATTGTATCTCTTTTTCTGATCACAGCTGAGAAAATTTCTTCATTTTTAAGTTAATGATTAGATTGGATACAGTTGCATAATCTGGGGATACTCTCCCCATCTCAAAATCACKTCTGCAAAATCACTTTTGCATGCAAGGTAACATAGTTACTGGGGATTAGGACATGACCATCTTTAAGGGCCACTTTTCTGCCTGCACATAGACGTCATGAAAGCTTTGGGGTTCCTCATGGAAGAATTAAAGCCTTATCATGCCTGACAAACTTTCATTCCCTCAGCTGTTCACTGGAGGAACTTTGGAGAAAGTAGTGAAAGGAATTAATTCTCAGTAAAGTTGTAATGGCTGACACAGTCTAGAATCTCTTCTGGTCTTAGATTATAAAATTTAACCAAAAAGAAAACTTTAATAACTTGGATTTCTGACTGTATTCATTTCTTCTCCTCCTCCTCCTCCTCCTCCTCCTCCTCCTCCTCCTTCTTTCTTTTTGGTACCGGGGATTGAACTCAGGGGTACTCAACCACTGAACCACATCCCCAGCCTTTTTTTTTTTTTTTTGTATTTTATTTAGAGGCAGGGTCTTACTGAGTTGCTTAGTGCTTCACATTTGCTGAGGCTGGCTTGGAATTAGCAATCCTCCTGTCTCAGCCTCCTTAGCCACTGGGGTTACAGGCATGTACCACCATGCCCGACCTAGTATTTACTTCTTGATTTCAATCAGGCTGTTATCTTTTGAGTAATTTCATAATGGCATGGAGGAGAGAGAAGATAGAATTTAGAGTCTTTCTTCTGCTACAGGGAAGAGGGGTGGAGCAGGGAGCCTACAGGACATTGCTTTGCCTCCCTTAGCCAGTCCATTTTGTTTTGGAGCTGAGATGAAAGCCACTTTTGTGGGGCTCTTGCCTTAACATCTAAATAAAGTCTTAAAGTCTATTCTCTCTTAAAGAGAAACTATGAATGAAATGAAAATACCCATTTTGACATTGCCTGATGGTAGGTTTCTTAACATTACAAACGCTCTGAKTTTTAATAATTCACCATATAGAAGCAAGAACATCTGGCTCTCTCTGTTAAGAAATTCAAAGCAATATCAATTCCTTATTGCCGCAGTCTGGCTGGGCACAAAATAACCGAGCTGCTAYGAGGCATTGTAGGTTCAAACAGGAACTCCTTTATTTCCCAAACTCCTCTGGCACTCCACATGCACTCCAGGGAACTCTCCCAGCTCCCCACTGGGCTCCGGGYGAACTCAACRGGAACTCCACCSGGCTCCRAGAGAACTCAAAAGTAGCGGGCGCCAGAGGCAGCAGGAGCTGCCCTATTGCTGGAGCCACCCTATTGCAGGACAGCAAGGGTCTGAATACACAGCCTGTTCCAATCCAGCATCATCCAGTCACAGCAATTATACACAGCTTAAYTTAATTATCATCATCTTAATGGCTCRCTGGCGTCACCTCTCAACCACTCCTTCTGGCAAAATGCCATGCGCCATCCGGACTTGGCTGTGGCTCTCAATACCTTATCTTTTCCCCAATTCCATTTTCCAGACCACTTCCACCCACCAGCACATCAGAAGCTGTCTATAGCCCRTTTCAGCACCTAACACTGGACTTGGCTTATGGTGTGTGCAGGTGCACAAGGACTGTTGAATAAATGAAAGATTTATTGCTTGGGTGGCTGRGCTGTGATTACTTGGTAGCAGCAGCTACCATTTATTGAGCCCCTACTCACTCTACTCAGTTATCACAYATTTTCTAGGTCTCCTGATTTATCTCTTTCAGCTTCCTAACAATTGATAAGGTTGGTATTGTTGACTCTATATTAAGACMGGAAACTTTTAGAAACTTGCCTATCCTTACAAAACTCAAGGAAGAGAGGAAGAATTCAAAGTGAGATGTATCTCACACCTAAGCCCATGGTTCCTTACATTCTACTCTTCCTTATAATCTTCTTGGTCCARAGAGAAACCAGGATTTGCTCGAGGTAACAAACCCATAGTCTCAAGACTATAATGGTGGARTGGAGAGGAGAAAGCTAAAGGCCAGGAATAGTCCACGGCATAATTATAGACAAGGGTGGTTGTGGAATACACCACGTCATGCTCTCTAAGTTAATACCTTAACCATGAAGCAACAATGAGTAGTATACAAAAAGAGCAAGAGGAAGGSTTTTGTCTGTTTGGATTAGTCTCTTTATGGATATTCATTTTTGCTCATGTGCATGATTGTTGGAATAACCGTGCCTGGGTTGGCCTTTTAGAGATCATGCATTGTCACCTGCCCCAGCCACCTCAACTCTGGTTAAATACAATTCAGATTTTTTAAAGCCTAACTCTAACAGAAAATATAACCCAAATCTGGGGGTTCCTGGGATACCTACTTTGAAATTCCTTCTGAAATTTATTTTAATATATCAGGGATTGAACTCAGGAGCACTCAACCACTGAGCCACACCCCCAGCCCTTTTTTGTATTTTTTGTTTACAGACAGGGTCTCGCCAAGTTGCTTAGGGCCTTATTAAATTGCTGGCTTTGAACTCTCGATCCTCCTGCCTCRGCCCCMCAAGCTACTGGGATTATAGGTATGCCCACTGTGCCTGGCTGAAATACCAGTTTTGAAAAATAATTTCTGGACCCCTGCCTTGCTGGTGCTCCCTGCATGTGTTAACAGCAGTGGTGAGCTTGGCTCTTAAGTTCCTGTGTCTTTAGATACCTAGAAGGAAGCTGGGAGAAAGCTGATCAGTCAAG